TCTCTGCTGCAGGTCCAGACAGGTCCTTCACCCCCACCCACCACAGCTACTACTCCCCCAAACATGAAGGCCCTGATGGATGAGATGCTCATCAGCCACCAGGTACGTCTGAATCACCGTTGGTCACAAGCCGCCCTGCAGGTTAAATACACCTCCAGCAGCTCTTCTCTATTGTGAAATTGCTGTTGTATCACTAAGAAAAAGTAACAAGTAACGTATAAGCGCCACTGTATTGATAAAAGTTAAGGAGGAACTTCAGGGATTTATACGGAAGCACTGAAAGACAAGTGAAAACATTTTTTTGCCAGATCATTTTTCTAAGTTTAGTGGTTTATCTATAATAAGGTTCTTTGTTTGGTTCCAGGTTTTCATCCACTGGGCAGGGAGAATGAGAAGAGATTCATACAGACTGAGCTGGGAACAGAGAACCTGGACAACGTGCGCTTTATTCCTCTTAGTTTCCATTCCACTCCGGGTAGGTACAGTCAGACTGAGAAAACAATGGTCACAACCAAAAAACTATGGTCAACCAAAACTGAAATAACAAAATGTGAAACCCTTACATTTTGGAAGATGAGCGCAGAGAGGAATGGCAGACATTTCATTTACTTGAAACAATCCTGTAAATTCCATGAATATTCAAAAAAACAATTAAGTCCTCGTTTCTCAATGTCCAGATAGCAGAGCTTGCTAGTGTTGTACAATGGTAAACATTACATTTACAATTACATGATTAATTTGCTTATTTGCCTTACATTTAGCTTCAAGTGGTTTCAATTATTCTGTTATGTCTCTTGGTGCTGGGAGTGAAGTGCTTCACTCACTTGCAGCTGCTGGATTTTTACAGAGTGTAAGAATTTGCATATTGCCTATTTTGTTAATGAGACTCTTCGTAATTTTGTCTTTAATCTGGCTGAAATCCTGTGATTGTCTTCTGGTTTTATGCATTCTTTTACACTCCATGAAGAAAATTAACAAAATGACAGAATAAATTATATATTTGGTATATTTTGTATTAGACATTTACAGAGAATTTTGAACTAATGTTTTAAACTTTAAAAACTTTTTTGTCCTTTTGCTTGGTAAAATTACCATTGAAACAATATGACACACATAGCTTTATTTGCTATCATTTCAGTGAAGATTTACATTTAATACACAAAAGAAACATTATGGGAAAATGTAATGATTTGGAGTGAGGAGCAGGTCTGGATCAACGTGTGCGTTAGCCTACACTATAGCTGGAAACACTGCTCAGCAATGCTGCGGTGAAGGATAAACTGTTGTTTGTCAAAAAATAGTTCAGCATGCTAAAAACCACAAATGTAGGTTTACATTTGTGGTTGAGTTTGAGCGTTATGAAATGTGATCAATACGCTTGAGAGGGTTGATAGCCAAGCTGCGCTTTCCTCTTAAATGCTAAGCTATTGCTAGGCTAATCAGCTAATCACATACTGAATCCACACACAGACATGAGACTGACACCACTATTGCTCATCTCATCTAGGAAAGAAAACTAATTCAAAATGTTGAACCTTTGCAGGACGCGTCAAAATATTTTCCATGTTTACAGACATAACAGCAGTGAAATTTCTGTGTAATTAAGACACTATTTTGCAATAATGTTTTTGTGATTCTGGCTAAAACATATTCTGTTTAATGCGATGATTTCAATATGGAGTTGGACATCGTTTTCTGTTAGTGTAAAGTGCTCAGCGTCTCAGCGCCTCCTCTCTGATGCTGCCCCTCTGGCTTCTCTTTCTCAGCTGTTTCTGCTTGACCTTTGAATTCTCTTTCTGTCTTGATGTCGCGTGTTGTTTTTAGCCGATTCTTCCGTTGCCATATCATGGAGACCACAGCAGGTGACCCTTCTGGCAACTTGATTACGTCCATTACTCCTCCTTCATCTTCATCATTCTCTTCCTCCCTCACAGTGTGCTCTCCTGGTGGAAGGTGTTTGTGTTATGTTTTACTTCCCTTAACAGCACTGCCCTGTGTCGCCAGTTTTCAGTCAGGTTCACCCAGGTCTCCATATGTTAAACACACAGTGACCAAATTCAAGGAAAACCAACATAAAAGAGTCTCAGTACATTGTTTGTTCACACCGTGAGCTGCTAGAACAGGCTTCACTTGCTCCAAGTCTCTGAAACTCTACTGGGAGGAAGAAAAACCATTCCTTCAATACAGATATTCCCTTATGTTGGTGTTAATGATGGTGGTGGGAGAGGCTGTCTAACACATCACTCCAACATGTAGATGTTCAGCTGGGTTGAATCTGGTGTCACATCATTTTCATATTCATCAAACATCAGTGACCCCTTTGTTCCTGTGGAAGGAGACCACTGTCGTCCTGTCTCTGCAACAGTTTTTTCAGGTTTTTCTTTAATTTGTCGCATTGTGTGAAATTTGAAAATGGGTGCGTTTCCAACTTAACACAACCTATCAATGCTCCATATTAGTTTGAAGAGTCTTGCATTGAACAAGATTCAGCATATAATTGTAAAAAGTATAGGACAGATCATCTTGGATCTGATGATTTACTGTCTTTTAATCATTAAAGTTTCTGAACAGAGCCAGGAGGACAGAGTCTTTGTCTCTAACAGTTTACTTGGGCGTGTTGCCTGAATTCAATAACAAGTGTTTCTTGTCACCTTTATGTGTTTATAATCATTGTTGTGTTTGCTCATTGAAGCCACCACACAGGACACAATTCACATCTAGATTTGGTATGTTATCATACTGTAATGTAACCTCATTCACACCCAACCCCCCACCCCCCATTCAGATGTGAGGATCTATGTGCACACAGTATTTGCCACTTTGCATGGGGAGTGATGTCAAAAGATCTGAAGCTATGAAGTGAAAAACTGTTTGATGCAGTTTGATGAGAGTGATTCTTGTCTTGTCCGTTCAGTGTTGAAAGAAAATAAACACCAAAAATATTTAAAAACCTGTTTAAAGCTTGATGTTGCCCTTAAAAGTTTGAGTCTGACGCAATGAAACAATCGAACAACTGAGAAAGCAGCTTCCAACTTAGCAACACAAAACATTCAAATAAAATCAGCATGTGTATGTAATTTTGGATTAGTAACCAGTAACTTTGGTGTCTACATTTCTCATCACTAAATGGGCTAATGTTACACATCTCTTATAATTTGTGGAAATACTTCCTTTTCCATCCCAGCTTCCCTGGTCAGCTTCATGGTGGATGGCAGGGCGGAGCTATGCGTGGTTGCCGGCACAACGGTCCTGGCGCTCATCATCCCGCCGAGGAAGTGCATGCGCCCACACGGGTGACGTGCGCTCGTGAAGATACACCGTCTGCGCCACCATGCCCCCGAGTAGGGCGAAGGCCTGGCCAGCAGCGCTTATCAGGTGGGCCCTCAGGAGCCCAGTTCCTCGGGTAAGGCTCCAAGTGTCATTCATCTTCACGATGGAATGAATGAATGAATGCCCTTATTCAGTTATTTAAATACAGAGGGGTGAAGCAAAAAAAATGCTAAACCCCTAACCACAAAGCAGGGTAAATACATTGATACTACATGAAGAGAGGTCGAATCCATCAATCATTTTTTTACAGTTTTTACAATATGTTATATTTTATGCCATAACCTTTGAAACTAAATTAAAAAAGAATAATAAACTGTTTATATCTGTTAAAGCTGCACATCCAGTGTAAGACACGATCTTTAGTAAGACAGGAAGAGGAGTTAACCACTACCTATCTACCAATAGATTTGTATCCTTATAATAAGAAAGCTTACAACTTGCGCCTTTTTCTTTCAGATTTATTTCCCCTGCCTCTGCCTTACTAAAACTGTTTCTGTATCTGCGTTGCTTTCTCCCAGCGCCAGAGATATTTAATCTTGCTCTTCAGCATGCCCTGTTTTCTTCATTACAGCTTGCAGTCTAACTCTTTTTAACCTTATCCCTAATCCGTTAATGCAAAAGCACTCTTCTATTAACTCCACCGCCAGTATAATGCACCATGATTTGATTTGATATGTTGCCTCAAATTCTGCCCTCTGTGTAATGTTGAGATTGTACAGTGGTATGATTACCATTATGAATATTGATAGATCTCTCTC